TTCATTCACTGGACCAAATTTGGCACAAATACCCAATACGACCACATTTAAATACTGATGGGGTTGGGGGGACTGATTTTGTCATTTGGGAGTTGTAGTTGCTGGGATTGATAGTCAAACCTCCCATCAAAGAGCATTCTGAACTCCACCAATGATGGAATTGAACCAAACTTGGCACACAAAACTCCCATGACCAACAGAAAATACTGGAAGAGTTTAGTGGGGATTGCCCTTGAGTTTTGGAGTTATAGTTCACCTACATCGAGAGAGCACTGTGGACTCAAACAATGATGGATCTGGACCAAACTTGGCACGAATACTCAATATGCCCAAATGTAACACTGGTGGAGTTTAGGGAAAATAGACCTTGACATTTGGGAGTTGTAGTTGCTGGGATTTATAGTTTACCTACAATCAAAGTGTATTCTGAACCCCACCAATTATAGAATTGGGCCAAACTTCCCACACAGCATCCTCATGACTAACTGTGTTTTCTGATGGTCTTGGTGACCCTCCTGACACCCCCTCGTGACCCCCCCCCCAGGGGTCCCAACTCCCAGGTTGAGAAACACTGCTCTAGAACATGGCCATATAGCCCGGAAAAACCTACAACAACCCAGTAATTCCGGCCATTAAAGCCTTCGACAATATTATTATTTTATTTTTATACCCCACCAACCATCTCCCCAAAGGGACTCGAGGCGGCTTACAAGGGACAAGCCCAAAAAAATTACAGATAAAACACAACCAATTAAAAACATCAGATAAATATAAAACTATCACACTTGTAAATAAACATCGAAACAATTTGGCTGAGAAAAAGAACACAGCTGAGGTACAGATTCAATGAGTGCAATACATTCTGAAGGAGCGCCAAGAAAGTGCAACAAACAAGTAGGCAGGGCTGGAGATACTGTCATCAAAAGTGCTAAGGTGGACGATAAGAGGCCTGACGTAAAGTGCTGACTTAAAGTAGGGGCAGGAAAATTACTAGTGGACTGCTTAATCAAAAGCACACCGGAACATAAAGGTTTTTAGTTGTTTCCAGAAAGAGGACAAAGTAGGAGCCTGTCTGATCTCCCTCTTGAGGGAGTTCCAGAGCCGGGGGGCCACCACTGAGAAGGCCCTCTCCCTCATCCCAACCAACTGTGCTTGAGACGGAGGAAGGAGAGACAGCAGTGCCTCCCCGGATGATCTCAAGCAAAGCAAAATCCAGAAGGAGCCCCAAGCTGCGGACCTGTGTCCTCAGAGGGAGTGTGAACCCATCGAGCACAGGTAGTCACCCTATACCCGATCAGTCCCACGACAGTCCCACGAATGTTGAAGTTCTTCTTCATCTCGTGATGTTCTTCTTCTCTTTAGGTGGGAGCTCTTTTCCCGTCACCTGAATCTATTAGTTCACATTCCATCCCAAAACAAAGCTCAACGTGTCTTCAACAGGACAATATTGAAATGGCTGTCATGTTGACGCTCCAACCTTTGCGAGTTGAGCACCCCCAGCTTCTTTGGTAGTTCCTCCTGAGCGGATTCAGTTCTCCTGCAACCCCTCCAAGGTGGTTATTATTTCTGTTGAAGTGAGAACAAGCATCCCCTCCTGAGGTGATGAAAGCTAAGTTGATTAAAAGAACATGGCTGGCGGGTTTGGTCGATATTACATTTTGCTCTGACGGGGCCTCAGAGGCATCTCCCCGCCCCCAGCCATGTTCATACATGCATTCATCAGAGGACCCAATCCAGTCTTTCCTCTTCTAGAGAAAGCACAGCCTGGTACATCATGTGCCAACATCACGGCCCATAAGGAGCCATGCACATCTTCTTTACTGTCCAATTCTGAGCAACAGCAATCAGGGCTTCGAGCATAGACCTGGAGATAATGCTCAAAGCCATTTCTTTCTTATTCTACTTCATCACATGCATTAAATACTACAGAGCCACCCACTTAAGAAATGGCAACCTCCTGTGTTCATCACATGACGTAGGATTCAAGTTTAGGGTAGAGACATCTTGATGTTTTTAAGGGTTATCTTTTCAGAAGCTTTCTAAGCTGGTTGGCAAGTGACTTTTTTTTTTGCAAATTATCTGGATAGAAATGGGCAAAATGGCCAATTCTGTCATTTGATGGTATTCATCGTTCTCAACTTTAAAATGATATGGTTACACAATTTGTGGAAGGAGCCAAAATGTTCCCTTTTGAGAAAAAGCTCCACCATTGACTGCAAGTGTTATTTCTTGTTTAAATGTGTAGACCTTACTTTGAAAGTAGTTGTTGTGCTCCAGAAACTATGTTAAATCGCTGGAGACACTACAACAGCGGTTCTCAACATGAGGGTCGCAACCCCTGGAGGGGTTGAATGAGCGTTTGACAGGGGGTCACCAAAGATGACCAGATGATCTTTGGTGACCCCTGATGGTCTTAGGCACCCTTTTGGCAGAGAAGGATGAAGATCCCTTTGCCTGTTATTCTCTTCCTTTGTAGAGCCAGATGGTGAATCCTCCCACAAAAAGCCCTCCTCCACTGTGATTGGTCAAACTCTCAGTCAATGGGAGGGCTGTTTCTGAGACTCTATGCGAAGGCGGGGGGGGGGGGGGGGGGGGGGGGGGGGGGGGGGGGGGAGAGCAGGTGTGCTCGGCACATGGTGGCATGGTACTCATGCACATGCATGGGCGAGGGAAAACGTGCAAGGCTGGAGAGATGCTCACACCAGTGGTCAAGTCCTTTCAAGTGTGATATGGGACTGAGAGTGGCCCAGCAGCATCAATAGCAAGTTTACTAGTTCCATCACCTGTTTGGTACAGAGTGTTCTCTGAGTGTTGGTGAACTACAACTCCCAGAATTCAAAAACAGCCCCCCCCCAACCCCACCAGCTTTCAATGTTGGCCATGTAGGTTGTGTGCCAAGTTTGGTGCAGATTTATTGCGGGCTGGGTTCAGA